TCGTAAGTGCAAGTCAGTCAAGACTGGAAAAGGATTTGTAAACTCTCTTATAAATAGTCTCCCGTTCGAAGCCCATGTTTCAGGCTATCAGTATTGCGGTCCTGGTACGAAATTAAAAAAAAGGTTAGATCGTGGTGATAAAGGAATAAACCCGTTGGATGCTGCTTGTCGTGATCACGATATTGTTTATGCAACGAGTAAAAATTTAGACGATAGACATAGAGCTGATAAAGTGTTAGAAAATCGTGCTTGGGAAAGATTTAAAGCAAAAGATACTCCTAGAAAAGAGAAATTTGTTGCGTACGCAGTAACAAACGCAATGAAAGCTAAAAGAAAAATAGGTATGGGCTGTAAACGGAAACATAAAAACAAATGGTATACTAGCAGCGAAGAAAAAAAGAATCTCGAAGAAAAAGAATGGTGGTAAAAGGTTGATTTTAGCACCGAGACAGTCAGGAGGTGTAATTCCCTTAATACCTATATTTGCAGGATTGTCGGCACTTGGTAGTTTGATGTCTGGAGGTGCTAGTGTGTATAATGCGGTTCAAAATTCAAAAAGAAAAAAAGGCAGTGGTTTGAAATCAGACAAGAATAGGTTAAGAAAAAAAAACTGATGATCACGCTACCTGACAGACCGCTTTCATCTCAAGATATTATAAAATATGTCGGAAAGTTGAAAATCAATCATTTCCGTGGAGTCTTTTCACGTGATAACTTGCCTAAAAAACCGCATGCGATTGAATGTGGCATATTAAACTTAGATATATCTTCAGGAGACGGAAGTCATTGGGTAGCGTTTTATAAAAATAAGGACAAAGTAGTATATTTTGATAGCTTTGGTGATTTGTCACCACCAATTGAATTACAACATTATTTTAGGCAGTTCAAAATAGTATACAACTATTCTTACTATCAAGATTTCAATACATTCAACTGCGGCCATTTATGCCTTGAATTTTTACAATGTATGAATCTGTTACACTAAGTTTGACTGGGAATACAACTATATTATCTACAAATTATTTTCCGACTCTAAACGTTTACGAGGATTCGGAAATAGCTTTGTTATGTTTAAAAACACTTAATTTATTTCCAAACATAAATTCAGCTAATAACCGACTGGAGATAGAAGTAATTCCTTCAACAAGTAATAGATTTATCCTAAAAACGTTTATATTTATTTTAGAAGAAGGATGTTATGAAATTGAAGATATTAACAACAAAATTTCGAAAGAGTTATTTAACTTTAACAATAAATGTAGAACACAGCTAACATTCAACGTATCTATTGATCCCATAGATTTTAGAACATACATTGAATGCAATGGGATACTAAAGTTAAATATTCCAAACAGTATAGCATCTGTTTTTGGATTTGAAAAGAGAACCTATAAACAAATAAACAAAGCTCTTCGATCGGGAAAAGCTGCTAATTTAAACACAATTAACTCTATAAAAGTAATGTGTAATATAGCACATGGGTCATTCGACAACCGACTTCAAAGTCATTCAATATATGAGTTTTTCCCTAGTGGGAGAACTGGATCGAAAGTAGTTCAGTCACCACTGAATTTGATATATTACAGATTAAACACAACAGACATTAATTCAATAACTATACAGTTAGTTGATCAAAACAATAATCCCATCGATAACTTTAATGAGACATTGACAGTTGTTCTACATATTAAACGTCACGAGTCATATTATTAAATTTATATCTCAGATATCAGGATGTACGAGTCAGTTACTTTAAGTTTAACCGGCAACACAACCATATTATCTACAAATTATTTTCCGTCTATAAACCTTTACGAAGACTCAGAAATAGCTTTGTTATGTTTGCAAACATTTAATACATTCCCGAATATCAACAAAGATAATAATAAATTTGCTATACAAGCAGTTGACCATAATAATAATAATACTGATCGTATGTGGTGTTATATTAAACTGGAAGAAGGATGTTATGAAATCAAAGATATTAAGCATCGAGTTATGGAACAAATAAATATTTATAATGAAAAATTCCAAACCAAGTTAACATTTGACATTTCGGTTGATTCTAACGACTTCAGATCATATATAAAATGTAATGGAATACTTCACTTTGAGGTTTTACATAGCATAGCACCTGTATTGGGTTTTGAAAAACGAGAATATAAGCCAGATTATGAAACTCATAGATCGGAAAAAGCTGTGAATTTTAACACAATTAATTCTATAAAAGTAATGTGTAATATAGCTCAAGGATCATTCAACAACCATCTTCAAAGTCATTCGATTTATGAGTTTTTCCCTAGTGAAACGTCAGGATCGAAAGTTGTACAGTCACCACCAAATTTAATATATTACAAATTGAATAAAACAAATATTGATACGATAACCGTTCAGTTAGTTGATCAAGATCATAATCCGATTGACAATTTTGGTGAGACATTGACAATTGTGTTACATATTAAACGTTACGGGTCTTGAGATGGGATTAAAATTCAATATAAACCCACTACTTCGGATCAGTACAACTAGTCATAAGACTAAAGTGCTACCAGCAACATCAAATAAAATAAAAAAATTGACAGTGAAGAATAAAAAAATTTTGCGAGCTCTGGGCTATCAATTAAAGCAGAATGCCTGAAAGTGATATTTTGGATATAACTTCGCAGTACGAGACGGATTCTAAAATTACGAAAATTGAATATCATTCCTACACACCGTATACTACATCATTTAATAATAATGATGAAATACGTATATCAATCCAGCAAACGGATGTTTATCCATATCTACACGAAAGCTTTATTTTTTTGGGGGGGACAATTACTGATGCTACCAAAGTGAAACTAACTAATAATGGTTACTCTTACCTCTTCGAACAAATACGATTGGAAATCAATGGGATAGAAGTAGATAGCACACGTGTTCTTGGAATCACTAGCTCGTTGAAAGGTTACTTATCCTGTACGCCAGATAACTACAATTGCTATGAAAATGCTGGCTGGAATTTTAAAAACTTAACGCAATCGGAAAATGACAAAGGTGAATTTAGTGCTTGCATTCCATTGAAATATTGGCTAGGTTTGTTTGAAGACTATAAAAGAATATTAGTGAATTCTAGATTGGAATTAATATTAACTCGAAGTCATAGTGATTTAAATGCTTTACAAGCTAAAAGTGGTGCTACTGTTACTGAAGGTAAAGTTACCTTAAATAAAATAGTCTGGAAGGTTCCACATATAACGGTCGACGATGAAGAAAGGCTAAAATTATTGAAACTTATAGAAAAAGAAAAAAGTCTATTTATCCCTTTTAGATCTTTTGAAACTTTTGAATATCCTGAACTCGGAACCACTAAAAAAGTTGTGTGGAATTTGAAAACTGCTTCAAAATTAGAAAAACCACGATTCATCATAATTGGATTACAGAAAGGACGCAAAAATGTGTTATCAAAAGATTGTAGTATATTTGATCATTGTAATCTAACAAACGTTAAAGTATTTCTGAACTCGATAGCTTATCCATACGATAATTTGAATTTAGATTTTTCGAAAAATAATTTCACCTTATTGTATAATATGTATACATCTTTTCAAGAATCGTACTATGAAAAAAGTATTCGTAACCCGATATTGAGTCCTTCTACTTTTGTAGCAAACGCACCAATTATAGTTATCGACACTTCAAAACAGAACGATTCAGCCACAGCCTCAGCAGTGGATGTTCAATTGGAAATTGAAGCTTCAGATTCGCTTACAGGTGTAACTGCTTATTGTTTATTAATTCATGATCGTATTGTAGAATATGTACCTTTTACTAGAGAAGTAAGAAAACTTGTGTAAATATATTTAAGAATTAATTTTCAATAATAAAAAAATCTATTATTACATAACTTGTGTTCTGTATTTTAAATAATTATTTCATTTTAGTAATAAGGTTTGTTTGAGTGTGCAAACTCTTCATAATTTTTACACGGTAAAATTATTGTGTCCAAGGGGGACATCCTCCCTTGGACGGTGTGAAATTACCGTGTAAAAAGTGTGTAAATTCTTCATAATTTTTACACGGTAAAATTATTGTGTCCAAGGGGGACATCCTCCCTTGGACGTTGTGAAATTACCGTGGTGACACAAAAAAAAGACTGTGAACATACAAATCTATACTACTCATTGTTACGTGAGAGATTACCCAGGTGTCTTTCGTACAGATGGAATTTAATGAAAACGATGCATTATCTATTCAAAAAGTTCAAGATTTATTTCAAGACAATTCAATTAAAAATGAACTTGCAGTAATATTAGCCTATTTTCAATGCATCACAGAAACAATCTTACAAATAGAAAAATCTGGCACCAACCTACGAGAAACCATCTCGTTGGTTAAAAATGTTGAAATTAGGTTAAGTGAAGGAGGAATAGGCATAGAATTTGCTAACTTAAACTAATGCAAGTATTATCGAAGAATCCAGGGTATTCTCAAATTAGAAACATTTGTGGAATATTAAGCGGAGAAATAAGCAATGACAATGAAGGCATTGAAGAGTTGACCCCTGAAGACATTTCTTGTTTTAAGTATGCACCTATCGTGTCTTGCGACGTAGAAAGAAGTTTTTCAAAATACAAATCTATGCTACGTGACAATCGTAGAGATTTCGAATTTGAAAATATAAAATCACATTTCGTAACTTCATGTTGGTACTCGTTCCAAAAATAATATTACATTTTTTATTATTATTTTATTAATTTTGCATTTATTTAGTTAAGCAATAGATATAAATGTATAGTTTGTACACATTTGTGAGCAGAATTATATTGATATTAAAATTGTATTTTTTTCTCATACCTAATATATTTTGTAATTGTTTTAAGATGTTCATTTTTGTTTTTAATACACAATAAAAAATTTTTTTTTGCATATTTTAGAATTTTTGAGTGCATAAATATGTGCATATTTAGCAATAATTTTTGCATAAAAATCCGGGCCCTACTTATTAATCAGTATTATCTATTTGTTGTAGTGCCAAACAGGCAGATACTATTATATTTACCTAATGTGTTTATTTTATTATTGGAGTTACCCTAAATTATATTAATATTATATAAGTAGGCATTGCTTCTGCAACTTGTAATTTGTGAATTACATAATTTAAGTTTTTAAAAGTAAGAGGTATGTTAAAATATATAATATGCGTATTGATTGTTATTTCGGGATTTAGGTAGACCGCCGCCGACCGGAAATGCGATAATGCGATAATGCAGCGGTTCTCAAACTGTGCTCCGCGGAGCCCTAGGGCTCCGCGAGATTAGTCTAGGGGCTCCGTGGCTCCCTGAGAATATCTGTATTAATTAAATTTAAATTATTAAATTATTATTATATTTCTTAGTTAAATTTTTATTTTTATAATCAATACTATTTGGACCGTACCAATATGTATTATTTTAAACATTTAAACATTTAAAACTTTAAAATAGGTATTTATAAATCCACATATGTCATATTTTGTGTCATTGTCAAAATGAGATTAGATAAAAGTCGGGTTTTTCGTTCATTTGACAAATGGTACGATAATTATTTAGTTTACTTATCTACAATAGCACAATCTACATTCTACGAAGTTCTAATAATTTCTTGATTCTTCAGTCATTACTCGTTATTCATCGGCCGCTGACGCAAATATTGTTATTTCGGTGTTTATTTCGTATTACGTGTTTCCTATTTTACCATCAATTGTTTTTATTGTTGACAATTTTTTTTTGTGAATAAAAATTTAAATGGATCGTTGGCTGAACAAATCAAGAAATACAGTGGGATCATCCTCATCAGATGCAAATGAAAATAAATGTGTCACACCGAATAATAGTGCGAGTTTAAAAAGAGCAAATAGTCCACCTAACAAACAATCTGATACAGGGACATCTGCCACTACAGTAAGTAAAAGAAGAAAATATGACGAAAATTATATCTCTTTTGGTTTCATACATGAAAATAGTTATCCACAGTGCGTTGTATGTAGTAAAGTTTTTCCGAATAGTTCAATGGTGCCAGCCAAATTGCGCCGTCATTTGGAAACTAACCATACAAACGTCAAAGATAAACCTGTTGATTATTTTATTCGATTGCGTGATCAACTTTTAAAGAATAAGAACTTTATAGCTGAAGTAACAAAAACGGAAAATGAAAAAGCAACAGAGGCATCTTATATGGTCAGTTATCGTATAGCTCAGGCTGGTAAAGCTCATACAATTGCCGAAAATCTAATCAAACCTTGCGTGACTGATATTGTTAGTTGTATGTTAGATGAAAAGGCAGTCAAAAAAATAAATACTATTCCGCTTTCCAACGATACCGTTAGGCGTAGAATTAACGATATATCAACTCACATAAAATCGGAATTAATATCTCGTCATAAATGTAATAATTTTGCTTTACAAATGGACGAATCCACTGACGTTTCTGGATTAGCTGTATTGCTTGTATTCGTTAGGTATAAATATCAAACTTCTCTTGAAGAAGACCTCTTATTATGTCAACCTTTGTCCACTTATACAACTGGTTATGAAATCTTCAATATGTTGAACAATTTTTTTGAAATAGAAGGATTGACTTGGGATAATTGTATTGATATTTGTACAGATGGAGCGAAGGCAATGGTTGGAAAAACTGCTGGCGTGGTTTCGCGAATTAAAGAAGTAACCAACAATTGTAGTAATAGTCATTGCATTCTTCATCGTCAAGCACTTGCTATTAAAAAGATGCCAATACCTCTTAAAAATGTACTTGATGAGGCAGTGAAGATTATAAATTTCGTAAAATCTCGACCATTGAGCACAAGACTGTTCACAATTTTGTGTGAAGATATGGGAAGTATGCACAAATCACTACTTTACCATACCGAAATAAGATGGCTTTCTCGGGGAAAAACACTTGTACGCTTACTCGAATTGCGCAATGAATTGTACGTTTTTTTCACCGATCACCCATTTAATTTACAGCTCAGACTTAGTGATAAAATTTGGTTATTTCGACTTAGTTACTTGGCTGATATTATTACGAAATTGAATGAAGTGAACTTATCAATACAAGGTAAAATGACTACCGTTTTCACGGCAAATGACAAAATTCGAGCTTTAAAAAAAAAAATTAAATTTTGGGCTGTGTGTTTTTCTCAACATAAAATTGATAGTTTTCCTTTGTTAAAGGAATATTTAGAATCGATTGATGGTAATATTGAAGATTTTGATGAAATATATGGCGAAATTGAACAACATTTAAATGAAATACTATCGTCATTAGAAAAATATTTTCCAGAAAGTAAAGACATAGAATTTATCCAACGATATAATTGGGTTAAAAATCCGTTTTTAATCAACGATAAGCCCGAAGATTTATCTATAACGGAGTATGAAGAATTTATTGAAATGACCACCGATTCATCTTTAAAAACTTTATTTGATAAAATATCATTAACAGATTTTTGGTGCAGTAGCAGTATTACTAACGAATATCAATCTCTGGCTAAAAAAGCTATCTTAGCACTTCTTCCTTTCGCAACAACATATCTATGTGAAACCGGATTTTCATCATATGCATCAATGAAAACCAAATATCGTAATAAATTGGATGCTGAAGCAGATATGCGTATTCAACTCTCGCCTATCAAGCCAAATATAAAAATACTGGTCAATAAAAAAAGCCAACATCACGGATCACATTAATAAATAAATAAATTGCTAAAATTTTATGTTATTTTTTTCTAATTAAATTAATATTAATTGAATAATTTGTATATATTCGTATTTTACAGAAAATAAAAATAAAAAGCAAATCATTTACAATTGGCATCATTTTTTTTATGAATTTTAGTTGTCTCATATAGACATTTCTGATTTTTGGGGCTCCGTAATTTTTTTTAGGAATATAAGGGCTCCGCGAACAAAAAAGTTTGAGAACCGCTGCGATAATGGATAAGATAATGCCGCGGTTATTATTAATATTGTGGTTAATATGAAGGTAAATTGACTATAGAATTTTACTTCAGTCTTCACATCATCAGTGTTCAGTCGTTTTTGTGTCGTCGAGTGTTTCGTCATATTATACGTTTGTAATTTATTATTTCGTATTGACGTCAAAAATTCCGAAAAAAAGCAATCAATATCTTGTGTGTTATCGAAATACGTCAATGAATTTGGGAAAAATGTATTTTCGAGTGATGGGTCAGCTCTTTTTTGCAAATTATGTGAAGTTCAAGTATCCGCAGATCGAAAATACACAGTTACGCATCATTTAAAAACTGATAAACACAGCCGCGCCATAAATCGCCATCAAAATGGTACAACCTCAAAAGTACAGCAACAACTTACATTGTGTTCAAAAAAATCTACATTTTCAAAAGATCTTTGTCAAACATTATTATTGCTAATATTCCTCTAAACAAAGTTAACAACGAGGATTTTCGTTTGTTTCTGGAAAAATATACAAAAAAAGAAATTCCTGACGAAAGCACTTTACGAAAAAGTTACGTAAATTATGTTTACGTAGAAACTATGAACAAAATTAGATCCAACATTGCTGGACACAAAATGTGGGTTTCGGTGGATGAAACCACCGATGTCCAAGGAAGATATATTGCCAATATTATTATTGGAACATTAGAAATAGACAAACCGGGGCAAGTTTATTTATTAAACTCGGAGGTGCTCGATAAAACAAATCATACAACTAGCAAACTAGCTTTGGGTCTCAAAATCGTGCTTTTTCTTCAACATTATATAATCAGTTTGAGTGGCTTAGAAGAATATTGATTCTAATGATATATTAAATATCTATTCAAAAACTAATAGACGCTTGGAATTATAGTTGAAAACAAATAAATGTCTTATTTTCATTTAGTTTAGTGTTTTTTTTTCTTATTAAGTATTATTATTTTTGCAGCCCCCCCCCCCCCCCCCCGATATATTTGATCACCCTACGCCTATGGCCACGAGGACGTAATGCTATTCATCAGTGATGCGGCACCGTACATGATCAAAAAAAATTGTTCGCGCCAAGCAATTAGCGCGTCGTGGTGTGCAATTACGCACGGCGACGATGACCTGCTCCTATCAGCTCCCTCTCCATTTATACACCTCTCATTCCGTTAATTGTCAAATATTCTTATTGTTATTATTATTTAATCTCTTTGTGTTTGTTGTCACCTAGTACCTACTATCGGTTGACCCGTTGCCGCATAGAATTATTGTATTATCTTTTTTGTTATTGTTTACATTCTGCGGCCAACGCCCTTTTTATCATTATTATTGTTTTTTTTGTCTTTATCAACTTCTTGTTGTGTACACACGTATATTAGTTTTTTTTTCCGCTATTGTAGCATATATATATATTGTTTTTTACTAAGTCGCATTGTGCGCACCCGTCTTTTACGGTTTTTGTGTATTCGTATATCTA